TGAGAGATTTTAGGAAAGTCCTAAGCATGAGGCTCGAGAGGCCACTTGCACAGAAAAGTCACTGGAAATGGCCTGGATGAGCTGCAGGTGGGGAGGGGCGGGGCCTCTGGGAATCTCGGGGCGGGGCCAAAGGTGTGAGTCAGGTGCTGGCGATTCATATATGGCGCCTGCCTGCCGGCTCTATGAGGCGAAGACTCGCCACAGGAGCCATGGCCTCGGCTAGCCCTTCTGCTTGGGAGGAAGCCGCCCCTCCACCTCTCGCCCGGATCTGAGGCAGGTTAGTTCCTCCCCGAGTGTCCCAGGTCCTTTCCGGCTGCTGCCCGGCACTGGGCTCAGAGGGAGCGTCCGAGTGAGTCCGTGCTGGGCCCTTTAAGAGGAAAGCTTGGGGCTCCTACAGCCTCCGAGACCCTCAGCGACAGTCCCCGTTGGTTTCACAGCCCGAAGTTGTGGGGACGTCTCTTCCCGGCCCTGGAGCCCTGGGCTGGGGCCTGATGTGGGGCTGGGACCCCCCACTCCTCTGGGAAACCCCCACCGCCGAGATTCCCTCCCGGGTTTCAACCGTGGCACCGGGTGTGGGCCCAAGGCGAGTCTCGGATTCAGCGGCCATCCGCCCGCGTCTGCGCCCCTCCTACCAGTTTCGGTGCTTCTTGAGGCTTATTCTTAAACGTGATAGAGTTCTCCATTAATTTCTGTGTTTTATGTTCTTCAGTAAAGTTTTATAATTTTCTTCATGAAAGTTACATATCTTTTATTAGATGTATTCCTAGGAACCTTAAATTTTATTTATGCCATTTTAAATGGCAACAATTAAAATCATTTTCAAATTATAAAATGTGAGTTTTGTGTGTTTTGGTATATTGATCTTGAAACCAGCAACCTATTAGACTGTTAGTATTGTTTCTAATACTTTATCAGTTCTCTTAGATTTTCTTCATGGATAGTTGTATCATCTGCAAATAAAATTATTTTTTGTTTCATTATCTGTACTTTTACTACCTTTGTATGCCCACCTAAACAATATATTTATTTTTTTAATCCTCACCTGGGATATTTTTTCCATTGCTTTTCAGAGAGAGAGTAGAAGGAATGGAATGAGAGAAAGAGAGAAACATCCATGTGAGCACCATTTAATATGTTGATTGGTTATTTGGATATCTTCTTTTGTGTTCCTGTTCAAGTCTTTTGCCCAGTTTTGTATTTGTTTGTCTTTATCTTATTGATTTGTAGATTTAAAAAATATGTTCTAGATATGTATGTCTGGATATTTATGTATTGTACATATCTTCTCTGATTTTGTAAATGTGCTTTTACTCCTTCTGTGGTGTCTTAGAAGTTCTTACTTTAAAAATAGTACAACTTAATATTTTCCTTCATGGTTAATGCTTTTTTTCTTTTTAAATAATTTTTCATTTTTCACTTGGAGTTGACATACAATATTATATTAGTTTCAGGTGTATAACAGCATGATTAGACATTTATATAACTTAGAATGTGATCACCCACAATGAATCTAATACTCATCTGACACCATACATAGTTATTAGAACATTACTGACTATATTCCCTATGCTGTACTTTACATCCCTGTGACTATTCTGTAACAACCAATTTGTACTTAATCTCTTCACCTTTTTTCACCCTCCTCCAGTTCCCTTCCCATCTGAGAACTGTCAAAATGTTCTCTGCATCCATGAGTCTTTTTCTGCTCTGCTGTTCATTTATTTTGTTTTATAGATTGCACGTATAAGTAAAATCATCTGGCCTTAGTCTTTCTCTGTCTAGCTTATTTCACTCAGCACAGTATCTTCTAGGTCCATCTGTGTTGTTGCAGATGGCAAGACTTCATTCTTCTTTTTTATTTTTAGTCCTCACCAGAAGATATTTTTTCCATTGCTTTTCAGAGAGAGTTGAAAGGGAGGGAGGGAGAGAGAGAGAGACACACACACAGAGACAGAGAGACAGAGACATCGATGTGAGAGAGACACATCGATTGGTTGTCTCCTGCATAAGCACGGACTGGTGGCAGAGATCGAACCTGCAACCCGGGCATGTGCCCTTCGCCTGAATTGAACCCGGGACCCTTCAGTCTTCCGACGGATCCTCTAACTACTGAGCCAAACCAGCTAGGGCAAGATTTCATTCTTTTTGATGGCTGAGTCATATTCTGTTGTATATATGCACCACTTCTTTATCCACTCATCTAATTGATGGACACTTAGGTTGTTCCCATATTGTAAATAATGCTGCAATGAACATACGGATGTATATGTCTTTTTGATTTAGTGTTTTGGGTTTCTTTAGATAAATATCCAGAGGTGGCATTGCTGGGTCCTTCTTTGTCTGTTGTGATAGCTGGTATTTTAGAGTCTATTTTGTCTGGTGTAAGTATTGCTACCCTAGCTTATTCTGTTGTTGTTTGCATTTTCATAGAATATTTTTTTCCAACCCTTTCCTTTTAATCTGTGTGTCTTTTGATATGAAGTGTGTCTCTTGTAGACAGCATATGTTATCCATTCAGCCACTGTATATCTTTTGATTGGAGCATTTAACCTATTTGCATTTAGAGTAATTGTTGATAGGTATATATTTATTGCCATTTTACTCATATTTTTTATTTATTTATTTTCATTGTTTTCTTAAAAAGACCCTTTAATATTTCTTGTAATACTGGTTTGGTAGTGATGAACTCCTTTAGCTTTTTCTTGTCTGGAAAGCTCTTTCTGCTTCAATTCTAAATGATAGCCTTGCTGGGTAATCTTGATTGTAGGTCCTTGTTTTTCATCACTTTGAATATTTCTTTTTTTTTAAAATATATCTTTATTGGTTTCAGAGAGAGGAAAGGAGAGGGAGAGAGAGAGATAGAAACATCAATGACGAGAGAGTCATTGGTTGAGTCCGCAACCCGGGCATGTGCCCTGACCGGGAATCGAACCCCGATTGCCTGGATCCTAGGTTGACGCTCAACCGCTGAGCCACCCCCGGCCGGGCTGAATACTTCTTGCTGCTCCCTTCTGGCCTGCAGAGTTTCTGTTGAGAATCAGCTGACAGTCCTATGGGAGCTCCCTTGTAGGTAACTAACTGCTTTTCTCTTGCTGCTTAAGATTCTGTCTTTGTCTTTAACCTCTGGCATTATGATGTGTCTTGCTGTGGGCTCTTTGGGCTCATCTTGTTTGGGACTCTGTGCTTCTTGGACTTATATGTCTATTTCCTTCACCAGGTAGGGAAGTTTTCCATCATTATTTCTTCAAATAAATTTTCAATCCCTTGCTCTCTCTCTTCTCCTTCTGGTAACCCCATGTTGCAAGAGTTGCTACCCTTGAAGTTGTTCCAGAGGCTCCCTGCACTATCCTCATTTTTTTGGATTATTTTTCTTTCTGTTACTCTGATGGGGAGTTTTCTGCTTCCTTATCTTCCAAATTGCTGGTTTGATTCTCTGCTTCGTGGACTCTGCAGGTGATTCCCTGTAACGTATTCTTCGTGTCAGTTACTTAGTTCTTTCCTTTGGGTATCTTTTTATTTATTTATTTACTTATTTAATTTTTAATTTTTTAAAATATGTCTTTATAGATTTCAGAGAGAGGAAGGGAGAGGGGGAGAGAGAGAGATAGAAGCATCAATGATGAGAGAGTCATTGATCGGCTACCTCCTGTAGGCTCCACCCGGGGATCAAAGCCGCAGTCTGGGCATATGTCCTGACTGAGAATTGAACCATGATCGCTTGAATCATAGGTTGATGCTCAACCGCTGAGCCACGCCAGCCTGGCTGGACCTCTTTTTAATGTTTTCTATCTCCATTTTTATGTTTTCTATCTCTTTGTTGAAGTTCTCTCTAAGTTTCTATACTCTTCCCCTAAGTTTATTGAGCATCCTTATAACCAGTATTTTGAACTATACATCTGATGGATTGTCTCCATTTTGTTTAGTTGTTTTTCTGGAGTTTTGTTCTGTTCTTTCATTTGGGACATGTTTCCTTGTCTCTTCATTTTGGCAGCCTCCTTGTGTTTGTTTCTATGTATTAGGTAGAGTTGCCACATCTTTTGGGCATGGTAGAGTGGCCTTATGTAGTAGGTGTCCTAAAGGGCCAGTAGTTTAGCCTCACCAGTCACTCAATCTGCACATTCTAGGCAGCCTCTGTCTGGGTTGTGTACACCCTCCAGTTGTAGTTGAGTCTTGACTGCTGTTAGCATGCCAGTGGGAGGGATTTACCCTCAGGCCCAAAGGCTACAAGGACTGGCCTTGACTAGTGTGGAGAATCTGCTGTGCAGGGGCCAATCCCAGGGAACTAGGACATACTTCAGTTGGGCTGTGGTGTCCGCTGAGTCTACCCCTTGAGTGTGTCTCTTGTAGAAGAGTTTGGGTGTTGCTTCGGTGTGGTCTGAAGCTGTCTACCACTTGTGCTGGCTCTGGAGCCTCCCAGGAGGTGCAGTTCAAGGTCAGCCGCTACCTGTGCCCTGCCCGGGACCACCCTGCATGAGCTACAAAGCAGTCTGCAGATGGCTGCTGCTTGTACTGGGAGAGGCTAAGCTGCAAACCAAGGCAGGCTGCTGCTAGTGCTGAGTCTGGGCCACTTACCAAGAGGCATGGGACACGCTGAGGCCAAATGCTGCTTGTTTGAGATATTTTAGGAAAGTCCACAGCATTAGCCAAGACAGGGCATTTATATGAAAAAGCCACTAGAAACACCTTGGGTGGGCCTGCGGGTTGGGTGGGGCACGGTCTCGGAATCACCAGGGTGGGGTGGGTGAACAGTTAGCCAGGTTGATGGAGACTCCCATATAGCGTCCGCCTGCCAGCTCTGTCGGGGGGAGGGTTCAGCAAAGGAACAACGGCGTGTGCCAGCCTTCTGTCTAGTAGAAAGCTGCCCCTACAGCTCTGATGTCAAATAATTCAGTTCCTCCTCATATGTTCACAAGGCGCCTTTCGAGCTCTAGCACTGGAACTCAGAGCGAGTGAGTCTGAGTAAGTCTGTGCAGGAGCTCTATAAGAAGAAAGCCTGGTACCCCAGAAGCCCTCCATCTCACCCAACCACAGTCTCCACTTGTTTTTACAGCCAGAAGTTATGGGGACTTCTGTTCTCGACTCTGGAACCCTGGGCTGGGGGCCTGGTATGGGGCTGGGACCCCTTGCTCCTCAGGGACCTCTGCTTTTCAGTGGGGATTCCAAAGCCGAGATGTCCCTTCCGATTTTTCACTGCCACAGGTGGGTCTGGGACTAGCCAGTTCTGTGTCTCCTCCCCTCCTACCAGTCTTGATGTGGTTTCTTTATTATATCCTTAGTTGTAGGACTTCCGCTGAGCTAGATTTCAGGGGTTCTGAATGATGGTGGTTCTGTAGCTCAGTTGTAATTTTGATGTGGTTGTGGGAGGTTCTGAGTCCCTCAGTTTCCTATCGCTGCCATCTTGACCCAAAGCTTGATTAATGCTTTTTATGCTCCTGTTTAAGAAATTTTTCTCTATCATGAAGTCATGAAAGATTATTTTCTAAAGCTTTATAGCTTTGCCTTTCTCATTTAGGTTTATCTCGCTTTTTCTTTTTGTGGTACAGTGTATGTTGAGGGTTTAGTTTGATTTGTTTTTTTTCCCTAGCTGTATCCCTAGTTGTTCCACTACTATTTTTTGGAAAAGACCACTCCTTTGTGATTAGTCAAGGGTCCATATATATGTGGATCTTTTTCTAGACTTCTGTTTACTAATTTATTTGTCTTTTCCAGATACAGAAAAACCTATGTAAATGGAAGGTACAAAATGGTAGGAGTAAATGCAGATTATCAGTGATAACAAATACAAAATGGACTAAACTCACCAGTTAAACACAAAGGTAGTTACATTGGGTTTTAAAAATCTAGCTATATGTTCTTTAAAAGAGACCCATTTAAAACATAAGAACTCAGAAAAGTTGAAAGTAAAGGTGGTAAAAAGAATTACCAGTCCAGCCAGTGTGGGTTAGTTGGTTGAGGATCATCCTGTGCACCAAAAGGTTGCCGGTTTGATTCCTGGTCAGGGCACATGCTCGGGTTGCGGGTTCAGTCTGGGTCATGGTGAGCGGATGGGGTGGCCAATCAGTGTTTCTTTCTCACATTGAAGTTTCTCTCTCTTTCTCTCCCTTCCTCTCTTTCTGAAATCAATAAAAACATATTTCAAAAAAAAGGAATTACCTGGCAAATTCTGAGAATCCTGCAGTTATATGAGAAGAAAAGGTATCTCAATCAACTCCATGCTTTGTTGGGTCCAAGGCCTCTCTGCTCCTGTCCCCTAGTGGTTGTTCAAAGTCCATGCCCCTACATCACCAAGATTTACCTCTTAGGGCAGCCATCTTCTTTGTTTCCGTGCTTGAGAATTTTCTTATGCTATCCTGGAGTAAGCCATGCATTTAAAAGAAATTTGCTGTATTTCCTCTAGCATATTTTAGGCATTTGTGTTGATGTTCCCCCTCTCCCCTGCCTTCCTGCTTCAGTTGTCTAGTCTGTTAGGCTTTGTCTGAATCATTAGTCTCTCATATGGTTTTAAGAAGCCACCCTTCTAGGAGGACCACTAAAAATGTGAATCGATTGCCTGTGGGCAAAGGGTTATGGATCATTTCTTACATTCTTACCCACTTTTCACAGTTCTGCAGTCGCACATATGTGATTCCTTTTTAAACCTGAAAAAGGAAATTTGTCCTTAAGATCCTCCAAGTAATAGTCCTTCTTTTCCATTTGTTTCAGGTGGTGCGCTTGTGTCAGAACCCAAAGCTGGCGCTAAAGAACAGCCCACCTTATATTCTAGACCTGCTGCCAGATACCTACCAGCATCTTCGCACTATCTTGTCGAGATACGAGGGGAAGATGGAGACACTTGGAGAAAATGAGTATTTTAGGGTGTTCATGGAGAATTTGATGAAGAAAACTAAGCAGACCATAAGCCTCTTCAAGGAAGGGAAAGAAAGAATGTATGAGGAGAATTCCCAGCCTAGGTAATGGACAATACTGCACAAATACTCGTTCAGCCTGTGCCTGCTTGGATGGCAGCACACGGAAGTAGTTGAGTTGGTTTTAATTTTGTGTCATACAGAATGCAAAGTTGACATTTGATTTAAAGGTGTGCTTTATAGAAAAGGTTGGCTTGGAGGATATTGAACTGTCCCTAGCTTCAATAGGCTTGTTTACCTATGAAAAGTCAGTGACTTCTAATCATGAAGATGAGTTGGAGGCAGTAGGTCCTTTAGAGACCCTGAAGATCATGAAAATGATCTTCATGATAGGTGAGAGTGTGAAAGAAAAAGGGGGTTAAACTGAGGCTGGGAGTAAATAATAAGAGGTCAGATTTTGCCAGAGCTGTAGCATATTAGGTAAATTTTAAGTATGGGATAATAGGAAGAAAAATTAAGCCAATAGCTGAGATAACTTTTTAAAATAAAGTGTAGTGAAATGACATATCTTTTATAGGTTAAGTGAATTTTCAAATAGAATAGATATTGGCAAATGCAGTTAATTCAATAAATATTTGGGGGATCACTATGTATTTTTTTGTTCTTATTAAGTACTAAAAACTATATTGGCTATCTTATGTCATTAACTTAATTGTTGGAAGTTATGTACTGGGAGAGGAGTAGGTTGATTATATATGTGGGTGTAGCTGTATTTGTTTTTATTCAATTGAAAATAAATACTAAGTCATCTAAAACAAGTAATTTCCACTAGATGTTTTTAGGGAATAAATTACTCTTGAGGAGTGACTTGAATTAGGGGGACAGTAATTTCTGAGGGCATTAATTTGGCCTGCATTATTTGAGCAGTAACTTACTAAATGGTGTCCTTGTCCACCACTCCCTTGACCCTGTTTTAGATTCTGCGAACCTTTGTCTCTCACTTAACATTTTATTCACATCATTACTCACATTATCTTTACTACCAAAATTACTCAGGTTGGTCCAGGATATCAGTTTTTTTCTTCTTAAAAAGATTTCTGGCCCTGGTCAGTTTGACGCTGGTTCGAGTGTCAGCCCTGGGACTGAAGGGTGGGTCTCAGGTTCGATTCCCTGTCAAGGCTCGATCCCCGGCTCTGGTCCGGGCATGTGCAGGAGACAACCAATCGATGTGCCTCTCTCATATCAGTGTTTCTTTCTGTCTCTCCCCCTCCCTTCCACTCTCTCTAAGAAATCAATGGAAAAAATATCCTCGGGTGAGGATTAACCAAAAAAAAATTTCTTGTGACTAAATTCAGTGTGTAGGAATCGTCGTAACTTCCAGTTTATACGAAAATGAGCCTCCCATACGCACCCCAACCGGGCCCAGGGATCAAACGTGCAACCCAGGTACGTGCCCTTGACCAGAATTGAACCCGAGACCCTTCGGTTAGTGGGCCGACGCTCTAACCACCAAGTCATGCTGGCCAGGGTGTATTGTTGAGTTTTAAAAAAATGATTTTATTTTATTAGGTACCAGAACTTTAAAATTTTAGTTGCCATCTACAATGAACTAGGTTCTGTTTAGATTCTAGGAGGTGAAGAAAAGAGTTAAGCATTCAATTAGGATGCTATGTAATAAATGCTTTAATAGAGATGTATACAAAGTGCTGTGAAAATACAGTTTTGCTTAGTAGCATCAGGGAGGGTGGCACAGAGAAGGTGTTATTTGAGCTAGATTTTGAAGGGTAGGAATTTTCTAGGCAGAAGAGTAATGAAAAGGCCTTTAATACAGTGGCATGAAAATGCAGGCTCTGTATGTTTAAGAAATGTGAGCAGTCTGGTTTGGCTAGAATTGGGGGAGATAGATAAGGTGGAAATACAGGTTGGAGTTAGATTGTAAAAAGCTGCTCTTTGACCTTTACACCTTCTCCTATAGATAACAGGCTGCCATAGAATAATTTTTTTCTAAAACAGCATTTTTTTTAAGATTTTTAAAAATTGATTTTTAGAGAAAGAGGAAGAGAGGGAGAGAAACATTGATGTGAGAGCAAAACATTGATTGGCTGCCGCCTGCATGCTCCCTACCAGGGATCGGGGGATTGAGCCTGCAACTCGGACATGTGCCCTGACTGGGAGCATGGGACGACACCCAGCCAACTGAGCCACATTGGCCAGGGCACATTTTTTATAGTGAAATAAAAATTACAGATCTTCTGGTTTGGAGCATATTGACCATTGTTTAACATTTCTTTCATGACGAATAGTTCATCACTTAGAGGCAGTATAGTGTAGTGATTAAGAGGATGGACTCTGAAGCCTACTGCCTGAGTTGAATCTTCACTTTTTCACTTAGTTGTGTGATCCCTCACCATCCTCATCTGGTATAATAATAAATAAATCCTCAAATGGTATAATAATGGTACTTTCCTTGTAGGGTTGTTGGGAGTTATTCAGTGAGTAACTAAATGTTTAGTACTTAGAACAGTGATTAGCATTCGAAAGTGACGAGTGTGTTAGATGTCATTATCTTTTTTTTTTTTATTAAACATATCTTTATTGATTTCAGAGAGAGGAAAGGAGGGGGAGAAAGAGAGTTAGAAACATCAATGATGAGAGAGTCATTGATCGAGCCCGCAACCCGGACATGTGTCCTGACCGGAATCGAACCCCGTTTGCCTGGATCCTAGGTCGATGCTCAGCCGCTGAGCCACGCCCGGCCGGGCAGCTCTCATTATCTTCATCATCATCATTATTTTCATTACTATAAACAGATTATTGTATCTGGCTGTGTATCAGTGATACTACCAGGAACTAACGAAGACCAATTTGCCCTAACTATCTGGCTTTATACTATGTTTGCAAGTTCTTTTGCCCTTTTTTTTAAAAAAAAATATATCTTTATTGATTTCAGAGAGACGAAGGGAGAGAGAGAGAGAGAGAGAAACATCAGTGATGAGAGAGTCTTGATTGGCTGCCTCCTGCGTGCCCCCTACTGGGAATCGAGCCTGCAACCCTGGGCACGTGCCCCAACTGGAAATCAAACCCTGACCTCCTAGATCATAGGTAGATGCTCAACCACTGAGGCACGCTGGCCGGGCTCTTTTGCCTTTCTTAAAACCTTACTTTCAATATGCCTGTATATATCAGTTTTACTTCCCCTAATATGAAGCTTTTAAGCCATAATGGGCTTTGAATCCGTACAACCAGTTTTATACAAATTATATGTAAAGTGATATTAAATTTCATGTGAAAATCAGATTTGTTTAAAGAAAGGAAAATATATGGCTTTACTGTATGGTCTTTGAGATCTGTATTTTGGTTGCTTAGAGGATTTTTTTCCTATTGAGTTTTTAAATTGAGATATAGTTTACATACCATAAAATTTACCCCTTTAAAGTATACAGTGCACTGGCTTTTAGTGTGTTCACGAAGTTGTGCAACCATCAGTACTGTCCAATTTCAGAATATTTCCATCACCCCAAAAAGAAACCTTGTGCTCATTAGCAGTCACTTCCCATTCCCCATTCCAGCCCCTCCCCCAAGCCCTGTCAATCACCAATATCTACTTTCTGTTCATGTTGATTTACCTGTTCTAAAAATTTCATATACGTAGAATCATATAACAGGAGCCTTTTTTGTCTGGCTTTTTTCACTTAGCATGTTTTCACAACTCACTCATGTTACAAATAGCATGATCAGTACTTCTGTTCCTTTTTATGGCTAAATAATATTTCATTGTATGGATAAATACCATGTTTTGAATATGAACATTTCACTGTTCCCACTTTTGACTACTATGAGTAATGCTGCTACGAACATTTGTGTACAAGGTTTTGTGTGGCTGTATGTTTCAGTTCTCTTGGGCACATACCTAGGAGTAGAATTGCTGAATCATATGGTAGTTTTATGTTTAACTTTTGAGGAACCACCAAGCTGTTTTTCCCAGCAGCTGTACTATTTTACATTCCCCAAGCAATGTATGAGGGTTCTAATTTCTCACCAATACTGTTATTGTTTATTTTTTCTTTATTATAGCCACCCTCCTGGGTATGAAGTGGCTATCTCATTGTGGTTTTGATTTTTATTTCCCTAATAAGCAATAATTTGAGCATCTTTTCATGTGTTTATTGACTATTTAAATATCATCTTTGTAGAAATGTCCATTCAAATCCTTTGCCCATTTTTATTTTCTTTCCTTTTTTAAAAATTGATTTCAAAGAGAGGAAGGGAGAGGGAGAGAGAGATAGAAACATCAGTGATGAGAGTCATTCATTGCTTGCCTCCTACACACCCTGTACTAGGGATGGAGCCTGTAACCCGGGCATGTGCCCTGACCGGGAATTGAACTGTGATCTCCTGGTTCGTGGAAATTTTTTTTTTTAATCCTCACCTGAGGTATTTTTTCCGTTGCTTTTCAGAGAGAGTGGAAGGAGAAAACAAAGAGAGAAACATCAATGTGAGAGAGACACATTGATTGGTTGCCTCCCGCACTCACCCAGACTAGACTGCAGCCAGGGATCGAGCCTGCAACTGAGGTACGTGCCCTTGGCCGGAATTGAATTCAAGACCCTTCAGTCCAAGAACCAATGCTCTAACCACTGAGCCAAACCGGCTAGGGCTCCTTTGCTTATTTTTGAATTGGGTTGTCTTTTTATTATTGAGCCGTAAATGTGCTTTGCATATTCTGCATACTAGACACTTAACAGATACTTGATTTTAAAAACTTTACTACCACCCAGCCAGTGTGATTTGACTCCCAGTCAGGGCACATGCCCTGGTTGCGGGCTCGATCCCCGGTGGGGGGCTTGCAGGAAGCAGCCAATCAGTGACTCTCTCATCATTGATGATTCTCTCTCTCTCTCTCCCTCTCCCTTCCTCTCTCTGAAAGCAATAAAAACATATTTAAAAAAAAAAAAAAAGGCATAATGACTACTACCATTCTGTGGGTCTTTTCACTTTCTTAATAGTATCATTTGAAGCAGAAAAGCTTTTTATTTTGATTAATTCAAATATTTTTTCTTTGATTATTTGTGATTTTGATGTCATGGCTAAGAAACCATTGCTTA